CCGGGCCGGGCCGGGGAGCGCCGAGAGAGCGGCGGAGGCTCCGGGCGGGACCCGCCCGCGCCGCCAACTCTCGCGAGAGCTCCGTGAAGGGGCGGAACCCTCGCTGAGGGGGCGTGGCCTCGCCCTGAGGCGAAGGGTGGAGCACCCGAGCCCAACTTGTTCACACTTTAATAATTAATTAGACCAAGCCTGTTATGTGTTGCCAGATTTTGATCAACTTTATTTCATGTGAAACCCGGGGGACGCTCGCGGGGTCTCCGTCCGTCTCATGGGGGACGTTGGAGATGGACTCGGGGGGTTGTAGCTGTGCCTTTAATGGCGCCCCAGGGAATGATGGGGATGGAGGTGATGTCGGGATCTCCAGTGCTCCTCCGTCCTGGGGGATGCCGTGAGGAGATCCCCGCAGGATTAGCGGGGTTGCCTCCAACCTTCTCATCCTGGAGGATTGCCGGGGCTCTCTGTCCATGTCCCTTTTTGGAGTCTCCATCTTTCATTTGGGTGCACCGGGAGCTCTCCATCTCCCTCACCGTAACGAGCGGGCCGTGTCGCCCTCCTCCGGGCCGGAGGGGCCGGGCTGCCTCCGCCCTCACCCTGTGTGGGGATGAGGAGTCATTTCCGTCTCTCCTCCACAATGGAGGGGGACATGAGGGTCTCTGTGCTCACCTTGGTGAGGGCTGGAGGAGAACTCTGTGGAGCGGAGAAATCGCTGTCGGGGCCTCCGCACCCTCCACTGTCGATTCTCGGTAAGGATCATTTCTTTCCTTGTTTCCTGTGGGGATTAGGTGGGGTGTCATATCTGTCCTCCCATTATGGAGGGATTGGGGGACTGGATATCTCCACTCTTACTCCCCTTGTTGAGAGCTGGAGGAGATCTGTGTGGAGCGGAGGAGTTGAGGCCTCCGCATCCTCCATTCCAACTCCTCTGTGATGGAGGGGTTGGATTGTGTCCAGCCTCATCCTCTGTGGAGATGAAGGCTCAGGTTAACTGTGCCCATTTCCCATTAATGGGTAGGGCAGGGGGATTATTTCTGTTAGTGCTCACCTTGGTGAAGGCTGGAGGAGATCTCTATGGAGCGGAGAACTCCGAGTTGGGGCCTCCGCACCCTCCATTGTCGATGCTGGATAAAGATAATTTCTGTCCTTGTTCTCTGTGGGGATTAGAGGAGGTGTCATATCTGTCCTCCCCTTATGGAGGGGTCAGGGGACTGGATATCTCCACTCTTACTCCCCTTGGTGAGGGCTGGAGGAGATCTCCGTGGAGCGGAGAACTCTGAGTTGAGGCCTCCGCACCCTCCATTGTCAATGCTGGATAAGGATCTTTTCTGTCCTTGTTTTCTGTGGGGAATAGGGGGGGTGTCATATCTGTCCTCCTCCCCTTATGGAGGGGTCAGGGGACTGGATATCTCCACTCTTACTCCCCTTGATGACGGCTGGAGGAGATCTCCGTGGAGCGGAGAACTCTGAGTTGAGGCCTCCGCATCCACCGTTCCAACTCCTCTGTGATGGAGGGGTTGGATTGTGTCCAGCCTCATCCTCTGTGGAGATGAAGGCTCAGGTTAACTGTGCCCATTTCCCATTACTGGGGAGGGTGGGGGGATTGTGTCTGTTTGTGCTCACCTTGGAAAAGGCTGGAGGAGATCTCCATGGAGGGGAGAATTTTCTGTCGGGGCCTCTGCACCCTCCATTGTCGATGCTGGATAAGGATCTTTTCTGTCCCTGTTTTCTGTGGGGAATAGGGGGGGTGTCATATCTGTCCTCCTCCCCTTATGGAGGGGTTGGGGGGCTGGTGTTTTCTGTGGGGAATAGGGGGGGTGTCATATCTGTCCTCCTCCCCTTATGGAGGGGTTGGGGGGCTGGATATCTCCACTCTTACTCCCCTTGTTGAGAGCTGGAGGAGATCTCCGTGGAGCGGAGAACTCTGAGTTAGGGCCTCCGCACCCTCCATTGTCGATTCTCGGAAAGGATCATTTCTGTCCTTGTTCTCTGTGGGGATTAGAAGAGGTGTCATATCTGTCCTCCTCCCCTTATGGAGGGGTCAGGGGACTGGATATCTCCACTCTTACTCCCCTTGTTGAGAGCTGGAGGAGATCTGTGTGGAGCGGAGGAGTTGAGGCCTCCGCATCCTTCATTCCAACTCCTCTGTGATGGAGGGGTTGGATTGTCTCCAGCCTCAACCTGTGTGGAGATGAAGGCTCAGATTAACTCTGTGCACTTCCCATTATTGGGGAGGGTGGGGGGAAAGGATCATCTCTGTGCTCACCTTGGTGAAGGTTGAGGGAGGGCTCCATGGAGCGGAGTAATCTCTGTTGGGGCCTCCGCACCCTTTGTTGTTGCTGCTTTGCAGTGAGGATAATTTCTATCCTCATT